CTTTGCTTTTGCAGCTGGATGGGGAGGAGTCCGAGACTTTCTGGAGTCACTTTGCCAATGGTTGACCCTTTCTTGTTCTGAGGTTTCTTCAATGTAGGGGCCTCCTTGTGTTTGCATCTGGGGCCTGGCGAGTTGAGGAACAATCCACGCTCTTGGGAACGCCTCATGGTGCCACGGACACGCCAACGGGTCCATTGCTGTTCAGACCGTTGCATGGCAGTGAAAGGAGGGGCAGCGGCCTGTCATTTTACAGACAAAACCCCCCAAAATGTGCGCATTTTTTTCACAGTGACGCAGCAGCAACTGCAGCAGCAGCACTTGCGGCTGCTGCATGTAGAGGGAGGACACTGGCTGGGGGGTGTCAGGTGGCCCCCTTTTGTGCGTAATGAAAAGGGACAAACGAAGAACGGACTTCATTTATGATGGAGACGTACTATGGCGCAGAGCGCCGTCGAATGCTTCGAAATAGTGAATGACTTTCCACCTTCGAGGGTATATTTTTGTTGCATGCGCACGCATTTCCTGAAGTACACCCTGCGCTTGTGTAGGCATGCTGTATGTGGTATGCATCACCAACAGCTTGCGACTTCATCATGCACTGGAAATCGTCGGCTCATGAGAATAGTTAATCTGGAACGGGCTCAATAATGAAGCAGTAGCAGCTAAAACATTAATAATCATAGCACATGCCACATCGGGTTAGCAGCTTAACGAATATGCCGGTGTGGCGACTGCCTGAAAGACAGTCGAGAGCACCACAGCCCATGCAAAAATTGAAACATTCCTGTGAGGTCAAGATGGGCTGAGGAGGGCCTTTTCACATGCAACCCCCTGTGCAGAAGTACCTAATCGTCTGGCAGTCGAACACCAGCGGAAAAGAGAGCCAGTCGGCCGTTCAGCCGACAGCAGGTGCAGTTCGTAGGCTGACGCCACTCTTGTTTGCTCCGTGCCAACGCCATAACGAGATAAGGACGCCTTAATCGGCGGTTGTAGTAAGAGAATACTTCTCGAGGAACTCTGACTCGACGCAGAACATGCTGGCGCAACTTGCACCTGCTTCCGTCGCGTAGCACCTATCGAATACTATGCTAAAAAATTGACATGTGCGTTGCTATTCCAAGCCACCCATAGCTCAACAGCATATGTTGCTTGCGACGTACCAACTACTACTACGACGTTCACCGGTAATGCATCGAGAACAGGGCGTCGTGCTCGTCCGTCGTCACGACGACGCTCATTGCAGAGCACCTACCATGCGCGGGTAGCTATTATCTGTTTGCCAATGATTTATGTATACCATGTATCTTTTCCACATAGAATTGACCACGAGAGGCAAGCACCAACCCCACAATGCACAGACAGCATCACACGTCTTGACCGTTACCGGCCAGTGCAATGGGAAACCTGCAAGGATGCCCCAGTCCCCGTGCCCTAGAGCACTGGAACAGTGAAGACTTTGCTTTTATTATATANGAATGCGGACCAGCAAGCACTAACGGACTGGCTGCCACATTTCATTACTCGTATGTTCGAATGCGGGCATGGGGGGAGGCGCTGCTTCTCTCGAAGAATTCAGCTTCCAGAAGTTCAGGATGAGGGCACTTAGGAATAAGGAATTCGCAAACAAGTTTTCGCTATGATTCATTCATGTGTGAGAGCTTTAGAGACCTCATGACAGCAGTGACGAATGCTGCATGCAGACGCAGCCGAAGAGCGGTGGTGAAAAGCCCTGCTGGAGAATCGAAAGCACCCTGCGTTTCGTTCGAGATGAGTTCTTTTCGCGTTCCAAACAGTTGTTTATAGGTTGAAATTGGCCCTCTGCTTTTCGTGGCTACTGCGAACGCCTGGCCACTGGCGCAAACGCAGATCGGCCCTTGGTCGTAGATATCTGTCTTTTCCGAGCCCTACAGGCAGGAAAAGTGGGCCCCTTCTCGTGCCCCGCATTCTATATTTAACACGTTTCTTCTTTTTGTATGTTATTAGAACGGCTGCTACTTCTTCGAACCCTTCAGAGGCACTGAAACCGGGTTTTCTGCATCAGTTCCCACCCCACGACCAGAAGACCCATCAGTTTGTCATTCCCACTTCCCGCCAGTTTTTCCTTGCAGGGGAACACCTCCCCTCTCCCTGCTGGTTGGAGGGAAGGCGTGATGCTCCTGACGGGGCTGGCGTCAAGAAGGCTTCCTAGCCCTCCCTCGCGAGGATTACCGCAGGTTGCTGCAAAGCATCTGCTTCAGCGTTGTGTCTGTTGCCCCTGTTCCTGGTCTTTACAGATTAGCCGTAGCTCTTTGACATCTCTTCCACAGTCTAAAACGACTCTGGCTCCCCTGGTTGATAGCCAAAGAACGCCATTTGTGTCATCCTCAGTTACCCCGACCGGCCTCTGCAGGCCATTTCACATCTGGGCGCAAACTGCATCGGGGTGGCAACGTTGCAGCTGCACTGTACAACAGCGCAGCCTCGTTTCTCCGTCTACAATAATGGCAAAGCCGGTCGCGCGCTGGAGGCGCTCCGGGCCACGGGACAGTGTTGGGCCTGAAGGGAGCCCTCCCCCTGGTTCTTCAACTCCCTCGGAGCATCAGGCGCCCAACTTGCCGCGAACATTCTCCTCTTTCCGTATGCAGGGCATGGTGCCCGCCTCCAGTGAGTCTGGGACGTTCCCTGCTAGGGATGATGGCCTCCAGCGGGCTCCCTCCGGTGGGGCCCCTTCGGGCTTTTCTTCGCAGTCGCCGTCTTCTGTAGGTGGCCCAGGGGAAACGCCCAGATTTAGTCTTGGGGGTTCAGACGGGGCCCGAGGTAACTTTGGACCCCCAGTGAGCCAGGGGTCCACAGGGAGTGACCCCCAGTCTGCTACCACTTTGCTGTTCGGAAATAGAGGCGTTGAGGCCTTCAATAAACTCACGCTGGACGACGAATATATCCTCCANTGCAGATCCGCAGCACTGAAGGAGTCGCGTAACTTGTTACCCTGGATGCAGTTCACCTTGGATATGTACACTTTCTGCTGTTCCTGACGGAGCCGGCAGTTGTATGCACCATCTGCAGTGCATCTCCTAGCCTAAACAACCGTAAAGATAGCTGCGCATTGTGGAGGCGCCATGGGTCCATCGGCCCGTAGCGTGTAGCAGAAAGAACAGGGGTGAAGAGAGAAATTGCTGCACAAGAGTTGGTTGGGCTGATGCAGCTTACTCTACATTAAAGAGAGTCTTTGTGCTATATGTTGTTTTGCACTCTCTCCCCGATACTCCTTGAGGCATTGTACTCGTCTCGCGCTTTTTCTTTTTGATTCAGTTTATGAAGCCCGCGGTTCAGGAGCATTGCGAGAGGGCTCCAGGGGGAGGCAGCAATGGGGGGTTTCAGCATACCCTCGTGTGGGATGTCAGAGGTCGCGAATTCCGTGCCTCCGGTATCGGTCGGTCCAAAAAGGACGCAAAGAAAGAGGCAGTGAAAGTCCTCCTCGTGCAATTGGGGCCTGTGACTCCGCAGGTGAGTGCATCTAAACAGCACGGCGGCGCATTGCGACAAGCTACATCGTTAGCAGTTAATTGCCCAGCTAGCTAGCCAATTAACTGGCGTACGTACGCTGCTTGGCGCAGCCATATCACAGCTGCGTGCGATGTTTGTGGGATCTACAGGAGTATGAGCAAGTTACTCGCGTGATTTTCAACACCCTCAGGGGAAAGCTAAATGCAAAGCAAAGGGCAATTCCCGTCTCCAGAATGAGTGAGACGTTCATCTTATGTGCTCGATAGTGTAATATTCCTGTGGTGCTTCAATATCTCGTCGTGAAGGTTGCCGTTGACACAAGCCCATTATGCATTATATCCGCAGACATGTTTGTGAACTCACATACGAATACAACCCCAGGGTAGATGGGCAGATGGATTTGCACGGTTCTCCTTGTTATTCTCATTTTCATTTTTCTTTTTTGGACGGCTGACGACCTTTCAGAATTTCTTCCATTTCTCGGACTTGCTGTAGTGGCTGGACATTTTGTGCCGCTGCTGCGTAGTGAAAGGGAAAAGGAAATGTTTGTTTCTGCGTGTGTGGGGTGCACCGCATTGGGTTTGCCGCAGAGCACAGCTTCGAGTGGAACTTTTTACTCGATGGAGAGACCACTGTCGTGGAGTCTACAGGGAGTGGTTCCTTCCCAGTTGAGGCGGAGATCAACGCCATGCAAGACATGTACATAAAAGTCCAGGAGGTGTGTTTTTTTCTTTGCTCACAGTTACCTCTTTTTCCCNCCCTTCTACGTGTGCGTTCTTCGAGACGATGCTCGTAGCATTTTGCACATTAATGAGCTCAATGCTCTCATTTATTCGTGAACGTTGCCTGCAGTTGAAGGACAAGGGTTTGATACGCCGCGCGGCTTTGAACGCTGAGGCGTCAAGGAACAGAAAGCAGCAGCCGCAAGAGCATCGGAGTCAGATCACGAGACCGTCGCAGCTCTCTAAGCACACGGCAGGGGAAATAAACATGTTGCACAATACGGTCACCTCCCAGAACCAAATCAAGGCCACGGAAACGATCACGGAGGTCCCGGAAGGCCACCGATGTGCTCTGGAGTGGAAGTGGAAATCGATCGAGGGGCGAATGCACTCTGTACGCACACGACCCGGAGGTGTTCCGCTTCTTGTTGCAGAACCTTAAGTTCAGGTTTCGGGGCGCTACGCAGCCTGTATATATTGCGTGCATGCAGCAACACACGCATGTTATCTTGGTGCAGTAACGAAGGGAACTAGCTAAGGTTACGGCCCAAGTTGTGCCTGATCTGACTTTGCAGCATGTTATCGTTGCCATCGGTTCCACAAAGGCGGGTGCCCGAGCTCAAGCAGCCATGCAAATGATGCAAGCGGCTGGCTTCATAGAGCATGTGGAAGACAAAGACAGGCAGGCAGCCCTCATGGTCGTTAACCAGGTGGAGAGCAAAAAGGTGAGTCTCTCTGGAGGTCTGTTTATGGGAAGTCGGGGTTGTCGCGTTCATTCCGGNTGGAGAGCAAAAAGGTGAGTCTCTCTGGAGGTCTGTTTATGGGAAGTCGGGGTTGTCGCGTTCATTCCGGAGACATACGCTGCCTGTGTTGGTCTTCTGAACGGGGGCGTTGCTTGAGACCGATTGTTGCTTGTTATCTATGCTTAGCGGCTGCCCCAGCTCTGGAGCTGCCGGGCTCTCTGCATCACTAACCCCGCCGTAGCGAGTGTCGGGGCTGCTTGCGTGCAGACATTGGGTTTGTTTTGTGGTGGGTGTTCTATGTCTGCAACAGGACCCATCTGTGTACGTAGAGAGTGCTTGCCGCCTTATAGCCGAGACGCGGGGAGCGGTCTGGCGCCTGTTTCTTCCTGTCGTTTGGCGAGCTGCAATGGCTGAAGGCAACCGTTCGCTCGTGAATTCCCTCATCGATCAGCTCAAGCTGCAGGCTGCCCCTCGTCCCGCCGCTGCAGAACAAGCTCGAGGTGGGTGTGCATATTCTCTCGAGTAAATGCGTGCTTCGTGTCTCTCCTGCTGATTTGCTGCTGTTTGCGTTTTCTTCTAATGGCTTGTACAAATAAACGTACATGAATGAGTACGGACAGACGGCGCTGTTGCTTTTATTAGGGGAAGCGCAAAGCAGCCCCGAGTCGCAAGAGACTGTCAAGGCATCTTACGACGCACCGAAAGTGATGCCTCCGGATCTCTGGGAGCAGCTCCTTGACGAGTGTACAGTCCTGACAAACTGCGAGTTTGGCCAGGTAGGCTACCGAGACATTACGGAGGTGGCTGTTGAACGGGACTACTAGGAACTTCACAGGGGGCGAAGAAGAAAGAAGCAGGCTTGCTTATTTGTGTTCCTCCATGCTGTGACACCACCGCAACCACCGAGGAGGCGATCAGCATGATCGAGATGTGCGGTGTTTGCAGTCTGTGCTCCACGAGCTTGGAGGCCTGTCTCTCGACAGCAGCTGGTTTCCTTCAACACTGGCGATGCGCTATTTCCACAACTACAGGCACGTGCTATTACACAAAAGAAGTCAGGACCCGATTCATAGCCCATTAGCCTGCCTCTGTCGGCGGCTTGCGTGGCCGCCGACAGAGCGCATTTGCTTAGTTGCAGATACGTTGGCGCGTGTGCATGGTTTTTCCACACCTCAGGCTGATGCTTNGAGCGCATTTGCTTAGTTGCAGATACGTTGGCGCGTGTGCATGGTTTTTCCACACCTCAGGCTGATGCTTGCCCTGGAGTGGCAAGCTCAAGTCGCAACGAATATCAGCGACCGTCGTGCTTTTGCTGATCTAGGGGAAGGGAAACACGTGCTGCTCACGCGGAAGTCGGTGACCTTCCCGGTGTTTTCCTTCTCAACATACCTTAGAGGCAAGTGCAGGCGCCTTCCTTCACGCAAGTGCATGGCAACTGTTTTCCCTTTCCTGCGATTGACAGGCAGGGCGTACCGGGCCCAGAGGCTAAGCTCACACGTTGCCACAAATCCTGGCCATCCACCGTGTCCATTCATGCTGAAATGCCCGAAGTATTGGTTGTTCTCGCATGGCAGCGCGAGTTGTGCGCCCCTCCATGGTGCTGAACGGTCATTATTTGCCTCACCTGTTAACGTGGCCTCGGGGTGACGCACTGAAGAGATGATTGTAGAGGCTTCCGAATGCCATAGAAGTGGCAGTGCATCCGTTGCATGCAGTGGGCAAAGTGAAGAAAGTGGGCAAAGTGACAGAAGCCGTCTTGAAGGGATTGTGTAACCGAATATGCATCATCCTTGTTTGCTTCTGTCCTTTCGCAGAGGAGGAGAGGATGTTTCTTAGGAGTGTACAATTCCGGGAAGATGACATCGTTCTCCTCAGGCCGTCTGACTCACATGCGTTTACTGAAGAAGAGTCATGGGTGGGTAGACCTGATGTGCTGTTTGCTGTCAGTGCTGGCGGTACTTTTTCTTCCGCTTCACGGGCAAACACCCCACGGGACAGTGGCAGTGTGGGGGACGGTCAGATACAGAGTGGGGTGGAAGCTTCCCTATGGATTCCCAGTTCTTTGTGGCTCAGCTGGGTTCTGAGTAGCATGTTGTTCTATGCTGGGCTTCCGTGACTTCAACATGGTAGAGGTTTTCCGTGTTGTACTGTTTTTTTTTTNTTTTTTTTTTGCAGCAACGATGCTTTGTAGGCGTGGTGACGAGTGTAAAGGGGGACTTTTCAGAGTCGATGAACGTGAACGTTCGTGTCGCCACAGCTGAAGTCAAGAAGTATCCGGAGGTCTTCAGTGAGACTTTCATTTGCATCTGCCTTTAGAATGACGGACAAGAACGACCCTCAATAGCACGTGTCAAGCACCGTTGAACTGCAAACCGTAGACGGAATTCTGCATTCGCGTGTATTTCCATTTTCGTGTTCACGCGCCTACTTGTGCTTGCGTTGCTCACCAGCCACAAACAAATTCAAACTCTACTACCTCACACCTGCTGTGACGCACGATCGAATGGTTCAAGCGCTCCGGGGTCTTACAATGTCGAAGCATCCCGCAGGGGTTAGTTACGTGTATTGCCTTACCTTCAGTGCTTCTCCTTGACACGTGTCATCTGATTCGTTGGTGACGCTGCGAGCCATGTTTCGGGCGAGGACGACATGCATTCTATTGGTAGTTCAGGTTTTCCAGGACAGTTGACGTCGCAAGTGCCACAATTGAAGGGAGAGTCTCGTGGATATTATTTTGCCTCTCTATTGCCTTTGTGATGACGCTGTGCACAGAAGTCACC